TTCGAGCTAGTGTCTTTCGAGCTCATGGCTTTCGAGCTGATGTCTTTCGAGCTCGTGTCTTTCGAGATTTTGACTTTCGAGCTAGTGTCTTTCGAGCTCATGTCTTTCGAGCTCATGTCATACTCCCGTTCAAAATATTCTACTGTATTATCTAAATGTATGTTTACTTTACTGTCATAGAATTTGTTATAATCAAAATACAAGGTGGTATTTTTTGGTGTATACCAAAAATATTGTGAGGATTTGCATGTATTGGATCAGTTTAAGACATCGAAGAATATTTTTTAACATTATTTTCAATTCAAATGTTTTTTTAAAAGAATTTCATGTATAGCTTAAACTTTCATTTATAACCCTTTCTTACGCCTATGTGCTAATTGATACCACATTTTCAACACATCTGCAAACCTTATTTAAGCACAATTTGCAACATTTTATTTAACCATGTTTTACTTATTTTAATTACAATTACATTCAATTACAGTTACATTTTATTCATATTCATAACTTACGTAATATAACATTTATAATGATATCAAACACTTATACTTATTAATTGTATAACTTTATAAAAACATACTTTTACGCACGTATTAACTGTATACTCACAATAACTTTGTATTTAACCCAACGATTGAAAAATGCAATAAAAAAAGTTTAGTTTTAGTTTGAAAACATACGGTCTGTCATTCACTACTTTCCATATTCTCTTCTACCCGAGTGAGTCCGGCTTTTGATAAGCATTGCGACCCGAGGTCTCATACTTTCCGCTTTACCCTTACTCCCCGACAAACCGTACACTCACCCGATAGTGCTATATATAAAGTAAGTCTCCGTTACGTACATTTATACCTCTTCACCCGATAACCACATCGACGGTAGACCCGATCGCCACCCGAAGATCAGGTCTCAAACTACCGTTCCGTAAGGTTCGTCAATAGGTGTTGACACCTATAACACGGCACTCCGCGCGCACACACCTCTACCCATAACATCACTCACCCGTACAAACTCTCCCCTCACTGGATCAGCTCCGGTGATAGTCCTGAACTTTTCCTTCACACCAGCCTTTCCTCTCATCAATAGTTTTTGATTGAATTACTTTCGGTGAAAATCAATACTATACTTTTTGAGTAATAGCTTCCCGAAAGTCTACACATTCACATCCCATTGACAAACTCTTTGGCCACTGGATCAGCTCCAGAACGACTTCTGAAGTTTTCCTTTCCATCAGCTATTCTTCTTATCATATTCATTCGATTAACCAAGTTTGAAAGAATTCTGAGATATAGTTTTCGAGATATCGCTATTCAAAAATCGAAATTCATATAACTATACGCGCGCCCTCTCTGAACACCACTCATTAACACAAGAACCGTCACAATATAAAATTTAATTTGCACATTAATTTAACTACCATTCACTATGTTATTTGATAGTAGTGTTTTAATTTTTATTGCATTACCATTGAGTTTATTACAACTAATTCAGACATAGCTAGTTAAACATTTTGGTAATTATAAATTATTCATATATTACTAATCCTCTTCTTCACCTTCAGGATATGGAATGGGTCCTGGATCAGGAATGGCAATAGCTTCGGGATCGGGAATGGCAATAGCTTCGGGATCGGGAATGGCTTCGGGATCGGGAATGGCTTCGGCCTCAGGTTCCGGGTTTGGAATCGCGTTAGGCTCCGGTTCAGCTGAAGTGTTGGTAATAATAATAAATTATTAAATGAGTTAATATAAAGTAATTGCATTAAATATAATACATACGAATTGGATCGGCCGACACCATATAAGTGCTTATGGTCAATACAGCCACGATTACCAGGATTGTTGTTGTTGTATGCATTTCAGTTATTGTTAACTTTATGCTTTACGGTTTATAACTGCAATGTTTTATTGTAGCGGTTGTTATATAAGAAAATTATTTGCTCACAAAAAATCCAGATGGTTTAGGTTAGGGCCAAACCATTTAGAATGTACATGTAGAATTTAATTTACATTATAAATGATTGTGTAATTGTATACACTGTTCAGTAGATGAAGTGTACAGTATATGATAATATGACACCATTGGAGACGATATACCCCTGTTATGTGCGTTCGTGTGATTTCATAAGAGTATATTTGTAAATTATTATACGTACAGTAACTTAATTACTATTTTTGTAATACAAAATATTTAATTATTTATTTAATTAATTTTCTTATAACAAAGTTTTATCAATTAAAACAATATTATTTTTAAGTATTTATTTTACATATTTTTTAGATAAATATATTTTCAATTAGTCATTAATTTTTGACATTTAAAACATTTCGTTATCAAAAATCAATTCATTAACACTATTTTTATAATTTGACATTTTAATTATAACAATTATTTTTAATAAAATGATGCAAAACATCACAAAATTGTCAATAAAAGCAAAACCCTTGCTAATTCAAACTTTTTTTCTAAATAATTGAATATTTGTTAATTACTCAAAAATTTTATAAATCAAAACTTCTAAAACTCAAACAAACATTTGTGTCCCAATCAGTTCACGATCGTGTAGTTTAAGTGTACGGACACATGGAATCAGTCAACACAGTATAAGCGTTGATGATTAATACGGACATAATAATTAATATGGTTGTTGAAACATGTTTAGTGATTATTAGGCTGTCTTAAATAGTTAATGTAATACATTTAATGTATACTGTATTTACTTTTGCTGTCATAGAATTTGTTATAATCAAAATGCAAGGTAAAATTACTTGGTGTATACCAAGAATATAATTTGCATATTATCTAGCTACCATTCACCATCATTATTATACCTGTCCAACAGGTGTACGTAGGTTATGTGAGATTGAAAATTATATTGTCATGAATAGTGTAATGTTGTATTTGAATAAGACATGTATTGAACAGACAATTGTTTACTAATTCATTTGTTGTTCAATTCATGCAAATGTTGTGCAAAGTGTTTTAATCATTGTAATAATTAATTAGTGGTTAATAATTATTAAATTATTAATTTATGATTTTCATATAAACATTACATTTAAGCTAAATATTGAAATTTTGGGCTAAACTTTCGTTAATATGTGAAATATTCATATGCTTTTATGATGAATACTTTTAATGTAGTAAAATATATAAGCATCAAACTAATTAAAACATTTTTCATTTAAAAATTACGAAAATTATTTTGATTCTGTAAATATTTTAAATATACTAAAAATTTTGGCAAATTCTGTTATATAATCTTTGAACATTTTAATTAAATTATGAATATTTATAATTCTATTATACAAAATAATAATAAATTTACGACAAATTAAGTATTTTGTTTAGTATTTAAATAAATTACTTTATAATAATAGTTGTTGATTTAGTTTAGTGAATTATTTAGTAAATCTGTGTAATGTAAATGTCGCTAATATAGAGTGGTTGAACATTTAGCTTAAATTTTCATCGAGACCCCTAAACCTGCCTTAAATTTAGGGCTAAATTTAGACCTAAACGTTCCCAAACTTTCACCACTTACATTTATGATATTTAATATTTATTGTGTTTAAATTTAGTGCTCATTAATTTTATTAATTGATTTGTGAGGTAAAGAATAAAGTTCAAAGTTAATACGTAAAATGCAAAAAAATTCATATTTAAAAATTTTATTTATGTTTAATTTGCAAAATTAATTATCATTGTAAGCATAATTTAAACTGATATAATTGATGTTTAGTAATTAAGTTATTCACCATAAAAACGTATATAACAGATACTAAATTTCTTAAGTACGATGACGCCCCCTAATGCTAACGCTGGCCCCGCTCGCCTGGTCACCATTTAGTATGGGAACGATAGACCATGGTTAGGGGTCTTTGAAAATGCTGTCCATATGTCCCTAAGATATAGGGTTCGGGAGTAGTGACCACTTTTATCGGGAAAATTAACTCTAATAAAAAACTTATTTGAGTGATATATGTGTCATATTATATATCAATGGAAAGGATTTGATGAGAGGAATAGGAATCTGAAGGGATTTCGTAATTCGGATATCAGATAAAAAAGTTATTTGGAATATTAAAAATGTTTTACATTTTTTGTACGTTATTTATGCTATAAACGTTATTTGTTGATGTATCTTTAGTTCTATCTAAGGACCTCTTATTGCAAATAATTCATATTATGTTAAATGGTGACCAGGCCAGCGGGGCCAGCTTAGCATTAGGGGGCCGTCATCGTACTTTGATATAACTTTTAGCAATTATGTCAGATTTGAAAAATTTCTTTGGACTTCGGTTCTACTCATCAATACCTATCTATTGATATATAATATGACATGGTTATTTATAAAATATAAGATTTGATTTTCAAAATTTTACTGATAAAAGTGGTCATTACGGCCAGACCCGAAAGCATCTGGACATATGAAGTATATCACTTGACTACCTATTGAGTGTACTTTCATTTTATAACAATAATTCATTACAATTATAACAATTATTATAATAACACAATTTCATTGTAAGGGACTTTTTTATACATGACAATTTTCATCCCATTAGAAAGGCCTTTGAGAAAGGCCTTTGGACACCTGTAATCATTATTATAAATGGTAGTAATAAAAATATGTGCAATTCTTTTAGTTTTAATGACATTATTTACTTTAGCTAAATATTTTTATTTTTTAGCGCATTATAATTGTGTTTATTACAAAGATATCTAGTTATATATTGTTGGTAATTATAAATTATTAATATATAAATATTAGTCATCCTCGGAATCAGAATCGGAATCGCCTTCAGAATCGGGAGAGGTTTTGGGAGAGAGACTGTCTTCGGGGTCGGGAATAGCTTTGGCTATGGCTTTAGGCTTAGGTTCCGGGTTTGGGATCGCGTTAGGCTCCGGTTCAGCTGAAGTGTTGATAATAATAATTAATTATTAAATGAGTTTATATAAAGTAATTGTATTAAATATAATACATACGCTTTGGATCGGCCGATACGATATAAGCGCTGATGGTCAATAGGGCCACAATTACCAGGATTGTTGATAATAATAATTAATTATTAAATGAGTTTATATAAAGTAATTGTATTAAATATAATACATGCGCTTTGGATCGGCCGATACGATATAAGCGCTGATGGTCAATAGGGCCACAATTACCAGGATTGTTGTTGTATGCATTTTAGTAATTGTTAACCTAATGTTTTACGGTTTATAATTGCAAAGTATTATTATAGCGGTTCTTATACAGTGCAATCTCTCCATAAGAACCGGCAAATAGCACAGCAACAGTGTTTTCTATAGAGAGGGTTTCTCTAAAGGAGGTTCTGTTATGAGTATAGAAAATCTAAAATATATTTTAAATCTGTTTCTTAAATAAAGTTTTCCCACAAGAGAAACTGCGTTAAGATAAGTTGCCCTGTATAAGCAAATTATTTTCCAATATCCAAGTCCAGATGGTTTAGGTTAGGACCAAATCATTTAAAATGTAAAGTAGTGTCAGTAAAAGTGAAAATTTTCATTCACGCTCACTCACGGTCACGAAAAAATTATTCACGCTCACTCACACTCACTCACGTCAATCACGTTTTATCTATAGATAATTTAGGCATTTATTTGTAATTATCCGTTATTTTATTTAATGAATAATACTTGAAAACATTACAGTAAATCATAGTTTGATCGTATAAATAACAATTGGTTAACATTTAGTGGACTTAACAGTGATCTATGATCTGTTAATGTATTACCGGCGGCACTAAAATTACGCTCACTTGATAGGTTTGTGGCCGCAATAGTGAACAAACGCATAGCTATTTTGTAAATTATTGGAAATTTACGTTTATTTTGTTCCCAAAACTTGAGTACAGGAATGTTTATATCGTAAATAATGTTTGATTTTAGATAATTATCTAATTCATTGCCAGATATATTGTCATCACTAGAATTAGACATTGGTACAAAATCTTGTAAACATAAGTCTACATCAGAATCTGAAGATGCATTTGCTATAATTTGTGTGATTTCTGTTATAGTATTTGTATTGAATTGATTAATCAATTGAATCATCTTATTGTAAATTCTTGTTTTCTCAGCATTTTGTATGAGGTTTGACAGCTCTCTGAGTGGTGGGAACAAAATTGTAGACATTATATGCAAATCATTAATTTTAATACAATGTTCAATATTTTGTTTGTATATGTCTTTGAGTTCTCTTATCACACGGGAATCGGACGACAAGTGATTGCATAACAAAATAATTTTTGATTTTGTGGGTAAAACCAAATGAATTGCTGGAGACGTGTCTGTACACAGTCTCACTCTTAAATCATAAAATGGTTTTAAAAAATTAATAATATCTTTTAAAATCTGTTCATCGATTTTCACAACAAATTCAATAATTGTTTTATTATTTAATGCCATTTCTTTAATTTTTGCAAAATTTTTGTTCACAGAATCCAACATTAAATACTTAGAATCCCATCTAATTTGAATAGCTTGTTTCAAATTAGTTTCTAATTCACATTGATTAGAGGATTGCTTAAAATATCGGACTAATTCTTTGCACGTTTTAATTGTTTGAATGATTTTGTGAAATT